ATGACGCCAAAATTTGGAATACAGTAACGCAACCAACGGGCTCACTGGCAGTCCAAGAAACGTTGAATGCAACTCATCTATGGTCCCTTATGAACGATATAGAATTCCATGTGCCAAAATGCAAGGTTCTATCTCTACGGCACAGGGGGATATTTTCATGTTTCCTCGGAAATGAACAACTGCCACACGCCACAAGTNATCATCATTCAAGAAAACTTAAGCTGCTCACACAACTGCACCAAAGTGTCCAACGCAGCTGTAAAGAATGTCGGCTTGTTTAATCGGGTCTTCGGCCAGTTTGAGTCAGCGCCTTTCTACCGTCTACCGCACGAACCTATGGGACCAGAAAAGCATGAGCTTGTAAGTTATTCCCATAATAAATTTTTGAATATATATTTCACACGCATCTGAGGCCAGATTGTGTGCTAAAAAATCGTGATACAATAATATTTGATAAATATCTGTTGAGAAGTTATCATATTTGAAAACGCTGACCAAAAATTTAAAATGTGCAGTTTCAAGTTAGCAGAATAAAAATACCTGGCAGACTTCATTCAATTTACCTTCCTCATCTAACATATCTAATAATGGAGATCCATGGGCTTTTGGCTCATCTTTTGCTTTTTGAGTTTAGTGAAGTATCTCATAGCGAGCAACATAATGCGATTAATACAGCATTATTTTCGACTAACAGGCTCGTTTATTATTAGCCAAATGATAATGTTAGATATATCAATCAAATCATTTTGATTGCGTTTTGCGACTAAAATGACTTTAAAGGATTCGCTTATGGATAAATTTAAATCGAACACACCGGCTAGTTCACCCTTTTGTTTGTTTACCTTTTGCGACTCTTCAGGTGCAGCTAAACGTTTAACCCATTCCATTCACGCATTTAGTTGTTCATTGCTTCACTGTTTACGGCTACAGTTACCGGTTTCCGGCGATCAAAGTGACTTAGGTACAGGAAATAAAATTATCTTGGAAAAATCTCCCAATGTGGATGAGGAAGAACACAGTTTAAATTTGCACGCGCGTAGCGAATACAAGTGACAGTGGGTTTCATTTTTGCTTTGTCACACCGTGCTTTGCTGCATTGTTGTATCTGACTCTGAGATCCACATAAGTACTAGCACACCACAGAAGGTAATAAAATTGAACAACTTTAGTAAGCGAACACAAAGGTATCTAGGTTGCCTTCCTTGTTTACCGCCGAAGGATAGTCACTCGTTTAACATTATACATTCTTTTATCATTTCCCTGCACAGCGACAAAAGTTGATTTTCGAAACACTTAGCTGCAGTTTTCTTGCAGTGATTTGTGTGACTAAACCTTCAGTTCAACATCAGTTTAAAGTTTGCAAAAGATACTTATTTGATTACTGTGTCAGTCGCATTGCCATAGGTTATTCAAGGAGTCTGTTTGAAGTATAACTGCTGTTTGTAGTCGACTGTCTTCCATAGGGGACGTTAAGTTTCTAAGTGCTTTATCAAACTCGAACAGTACTACAAGGTAGATCCATGCTTCTGTGCAGGCTGTATGTCGTAGTAAGATTGGACATAGCCAATGTGCAAAACACAGCTGCCGTAGCGTTTGGTTTCCCTGATACATAATTGATACAGCGGGTGATCGAATATAAACCTGTGCTAGCCTTTTTCTTGTAACGCGACCTCTTTTTGAACGCCATGTTATCAAACTACTTTCCATTTAAATTTTCTTGGATTTCTGCTATGTTCGCTATTGTTTCTAGTCTACGCAACTTGTGAATCTCATGACTGAAAATAACTGATTATTTCTCTTTGGATGTTCACATGTTTCAATCTCACATGAGGTTGGTGATATTCGCACATGATGCGGTAAGTATTCTGTTCGTTGGTTCCGAAGTTCATCTTTCAGAGTTTTTCTCGAACTACTGATGGCCATAATTTTATACTGTTGAAAATTTATTGTTTTATTTTCATCTCTTCCATTTCATCATCATTTTCCAGGAAGAATTGGGTGGTTCTAAGACCCATACATCTGTCTCTGGTGTGGCTCATAGAGCCTTCGATAATGACGTAGATGCGTTACTGTCTCTACGCGACTTCCTCACATACCTACCTTCTTCAAACCTCCACCCGGTTCCCCCAATTCGTGAGTGTCATGATCCGGTGGATCGTTTGGTTCCCGCATTGAGTACAGTTGTTCCCCTGGAACCGACGNCGACGAGTGCCTACGATATGTATGAAGTGATTTGGGTATGTCAGACCTTTTGGCCAAATCTAATGTATTTGTTGATATAAATATTTCGTCACAAGCATTTTACCTTCGTCAGGTTTTGTGGTGTTTGAATGTGCTTGTACGCTACATACAATTAAAGCTTTGGTCTATTGACCTCGTCCTTCATGGATTTGGTTGATGTTTTGAAAGTTAACATTTCTGACACGGTCCAGTGAAATTGAAAAAAATCACTCAACCAATCTTGCAGTTTTCTACCGTAACCCTCGTTTATGTTGTAGCATCCACTTTGTCCACCAAAGTCCGAAGTTCACCGGGTCTGTGAGCCACCGTAAGTACCACTATGGGAGTGTTCAACACAACATGGTTTCAAATCAACCAAAACGGAGCTCACAGGTCAAACTTATTCGGGCTTGATTGAGTATCGTGGTGTATTGGACACCTCAAATGTCTAACCCCAAGCGAAGGACGTACGATTCCATTAACTAGGCAACAACTCGCAGTGGATTGCAGATTTTATATACCACTGCGCTGCCTTAAGGGTTAGGTTTTGACGAGTCGAAGGCTTCGGCTGTGAATCTACCAGGAAACTCACCCATTTTTATCTGGGTAACTTAGTAGTATTCACCCACGAGCAAATCATAAAACACTTACTTTGTTATAAACATTGCTGTACGGCGATTTATTTGGCATACAGTAAATATGCAATCTTTGCGCCTATCTTCGATTTAATGTTATCTTAATTTGGTCAACAGTATTTTATCCTTTCGTGGTACTTTTCGTATTGTATTCGACGCGAATTACTTTTTGGTTAATCTTGAAGTGGTCCATATGGATCTGTTTATGAACCCTCCTTTCGTGAATAACTCATTCTAAACCGTAAGAATCTAAATTTTATCGAATTATACTTTTCAGAATACTGTGGATGAAAGAGAATTCTTTGAAATCATGCCATCCTATGCCAAAAATATCATCGTCGGATTTGCCCGTCTCGGTGGCCGTACGGTCGGCATCGTGGCTAACCAGCCGCGTGTCTCGGCTGGCTGTCTGGATATCAACGCATCTGTTAAAGGAGCTCGGTTCGTTCGATTCTGCGATGCTTTCAACATCCCTCTTATTACGTTTGTGGATGTACCCGGATTCTTGCCCGGTACCAGTCAAGAATACGGTGGAATCATTCGACATGGTGCTAAGCTAATTTTCGCATACGCCGAAGCCACCGTTCCAAAATTGACGGTGATCACCAGAAAGGCTTACGGTGGAGCCTATTGTGTGATGAGCTCGAAGCACCTTCGGGGAGATATCAATTATGCCTGGCCTACTGCTGAGGTCAGTAAATACGCTTCGGTCGTTTTGGTTTCTGTTAAATCTCTAAAGTGCTATACCGTTCTCTTTTCAAGAAATGCCTCGTTGTTTTCGATTATTCTCCCTTTAATCAAGTATAGCGGCTGTCGTCCGAGATAGCACAAATGTGTGACTGTGACATCGATTTCTTAAACGAGCTCAACTTTAATATGTATCAAATTATATTTCTATAAATATTTCAAGTAAAGGTAGTTTTCCCCAATGGGATATGATTATTGAGTAGTGACAGTGCCGTCCTTGTATTTTCATTTTCACTCTGGCTCAAAGATTGAAATCGTATACCACTCTGTTCCGTCGAACTTGGATGATTTGGTGTAACAGAGCCTAAAGCTTCCTTTTGACGCTCGCTTTCACAAATATTTTGTCCAGTCGAGTACCATGTTTTTCTACTAGCTTCCCTGGCTGGGGACCTCGGGATGATGGTCACCGATGGTTAGAGACGCTAAGTGATATGGCTGGGTGGCGCTCGTGCATCCACTCGTTATTCTCCTAACACCACTCTATATGAATTCCCCATCTTCCTCTTGAATTTGCTTCGACATTCCAATCTTCATTTTGCTCTTTTATCCAAATGGGCAACCAAAAGACAGCAAACAAAACCGCTGCACGAAAGTGCATGGTTAATGGTTGTAAAAACTGAACTAGCTTCATAAACATTACACGCGGTGCGTCATTTTCTAAGGTTTGTTTCAGTTTACACACATCGAGTAGATTCATGAACGGTGGGATTTACATCGCCCTCTCATCGTGAAATCTCTCAAATTTGTTCACAGTGCTCTTTATTGTGCATTACTCAAAAATGCAAGAACTGCCAGTTGGATATCGAAGCTCTGGTTCGTACCAAAAGCAGTGTGGTACTGTGTGATTCTCACGTCAAGATTTTAGTTTTTAATTTCCGGAATATACCAACGACACACATTGAATGAAAAATGCAGTTTAGCGAAAAAGCTTTCTTTTAAAACTTACCGATTAGATGCCACTCTATCGTGCCGTATTGCGTCTGTTGAGATTTTGGGTGCTGTGTTAATCATCAAGGACCGGTCTGGGAAACCTAGCAGCGTAACGTCCATGAGCAAATCATGGACTTTTTCTTTTTATGATGATTATTGTACCGTGATTTGTTTTGCACAGTCTGAACTCAGACGTGTGTAAAAATAAAATAAATCACGGACTAGGCGTCATGATGACCTTGACCACTTGAATCGGGTTGGAGACAGATGTTTGTCATTGAGCTTGATACGAAGACATGTAAATATTATCTCAGGTTGATTTGTCCTTTTTTATGCAGTTGCTAACTCGAGATGTAAAAGCTTTAGGTTCGACATGATGAAATAGAGAATGTCTTAGCACATTTTCACCGTTTTTTTTAGCTGGACCAATCTGTAATAAACAGTACCGTATGACTCGAGTTGGACACATCAGTGAAGTCTGTGGGTTTGTGATACCTGTTTTCACTCCATTATCGTTGTAATTACATGATGGCAAAGTCTGGAATAGAATACTTCGCTTCTATATGATGGTGTTGAATACGCAGGCTTGTGATAGGCAGCTTAAACTCGAGTGCACACTGACTCCGGAATATATCCCATGTCCCACTTGTTTTTGAAATTTGTTGCCCGGTTTATATCTCAGTATGATACGAACAGAGAGAAAATATGGCGTAGTTATAAGGATCTGCTGTTCAGTCCTCTTAAATCACCCAAGTTCCCGTACCCGAATAGGGAATCAGCGAGAGTTCAAGTGGAACTAATTATGACGTTTTGCACGATGTTAAATCACAGTTATTTGATTGCGTTGNATTGCGTTGTCTCTTAATCCAGGTCGCCGTCATGGGAGCCAAAGGTGCGGTCCAGATCATTTTCCGCGGTAAGGAAAACCAGGCTCAAGCGGAAGACGACTACATTCGTGCCTTTGCTAATCCTTTCCCGGCCGCCACTCGAGGATTTGTCGATGACGTGATTGATCCGCAACTGACTCGAATGCGATTGTGTCGCGATTTGGAAATGCTAGAAACCAAGAAACTGCCGAACCCATGGAAGAAACATGCTAACATGCCTCTGTGAGGACCCCCACCCCACATTGTCCCACATTATCAGTCTTCATTTTGGGATACTATTCAGTCCACTTTAACCCCACCTCTTTATCCTTATGTTCACTTATTGGGCCGATCCCCACTGTTGTGATCCTTTTGTCAGTTCGACCAATTCGTTTTTTTTTCGTTTCGTTATTCGCCGCTTTTGTATTGTTCCCTTCTGTGAATAATCGTAATATAAGAAATATTATTGAATTAGGCTGAATTTGAATTTTACTCCAGTTTATGCTACCCTTGTTACTTTCACTGATTGTTCGTAAAGCACATGGTTTGGATAGGCACTTTCCACTGGCTTCCAGAGGTTGCACTGCGTCATTTCTATCCTCTGATAGGGTATTCATAAAAAAACCGCGTGAATGTTTCATCAAACTGAGATCGTCTAATATGTGAAAATTAGGTGGGTCATAGTAGTTTAAATGAATTTTAGGAATATCATTCTTCATTAAATTCCAAAAGGACCTTAAGTCTGAATCTGATCATTGCAAACAGTTGCACTTTGCACCCTTAACTTGAACATCCCCTACTGTGCTATATGTATGTATTATATATATATATATATCAAAAGAAAAGACCATATGGCAATACGGTACGATTTATGTGCAGGACGATTTCGCTGTATCTCAACGTGGTGCATACTGCAGAAAGTATAATGTTTATATAGCACTTTAGCATAGCAACAAAGTAAAGCAAAATACATTAAAAACAGACAAAACATAAAAGAGGGAGGGGTAAAAGGACCAATATCACCAAGGTTGGGAGAGACTAACATGAAGTTCTTTTTTGCTGACACAGGGGGGCTTCCATCGATTAATCGCAATCGCTTCGGCAAACCTTAGCAATCTTGCGACTTGTGACTTGTAGACAATTCGAAACGCTGTGCCTCGGTCGACCTGGTGTTGCGTCATCAGCAGATGTCGAGCAATCGCTGAGGACCGGGTTTTGTAGTTTCGACCGTCGTTTCTTTGCAGCGGACTTGACCTCAATTGGGTCAGCTGATTTTGGACCCAATTCGGAATATGTTCCACCCCCCGATTGCGTAATTGTCGCTCTGTTCGGCCCACGTAGGGTGCTGCCC